TTTGTGATATGGTGAATACGAATTCATGAGAACCTGTAGTCGTTAATTGTACAGTGGTCTAGAGGTTAAGCGTTCACACGCGAAACCAGTACGATCTGGGTTTGAATCCCAAAAGGCGGGACGGTGCATGCGCACTGCTGAGGAGTCCCATAATAAGACGGAAAAGCGGCCTAGTGCTTCCAGGTTTTCCATGGTGGTCTAACTTCAATTGACTCATGAATTCAATTATTAAATTACTATCATATCCACAAATTTCATCTCTCATTGTAATTTTACAATTGTGCATTTCTTTTCTGCTTTTCACGAATAGTATTTCAATAAGAGACAATGGATTTTAAGCGTTCTTCAAGTCCTAACGATTCAGGCTGGGCTACATCGTTTACTACCCTACATATGTGTTGCATGCAGTACAAGCTATATGGTTATATAGAGCTGAAGGTCATAGTCATAATCATTGGGATTTTGTGAGGCATATCATCATTGCTAACATTATGAGATTGAGTATTGTGTATGCGGGATAGGTGAACTTTGGCCTATTTGTGCTGTGTATAACTGCTTTACGCGATCAATGATCGGAATAATTATACATGTGATGTGAATGTGTATATGAATGGTGGGAATGGTCTACCAAGGTGTTTGGTATCTGTGTGGTTGCGCCACAAGACTGAGCTTTACTATTCAGATCGTAGCGTTTAAGCCTATACAGTTATGTTTCTTCTGTGAAGGGGGATTGAGTTGTACTCTTTGGGTTGTCACGTGAAAGTCTGTATGGTGTCTGCTTCTCATGAATAACAATGTAATATTACCCTGGCCCACAGAGGTATATTATGTAACTAACTGTACGTCTGTTTATTGTATGCTGGACAATTATGAGCTTGTCTTGGGTCAATAATTTTCAGAATTCAAATCACAAGCTTGTAATTCAGCTAAGCCTATTAATTAGTTTACGAATGTTAGATTCTAGTTCAGTGATTTAAAAGGGTGGAATAACCATTACGAGATTCAAAGTTCTTGATTTCTATTGATCGTTGAGTACTTTTCGAGTTTAACTAAGGTTTCATGTATTAGTACAAACGAGTTGGTCAATTGAGATGATGGAGAAGATTTGTAGTAAACAATGAAAGATTTAAGGTCAACAAGAACCAATCAACATCGAGATGTACAGGACAAGCTGTGAACTATATGTGGAGAAATTCGAACACTTCACTTCTATTTGAAGTTTGTGCTGATGATGTCGTTCATTAGAATGACAAAAGCTTCACAACCAAACCATTCAGATTGGAGAACAAAACTTCATCAAAACGTTGCTCAATTACTCCTGGTTACCGATAATTGTCTCATTGAGATCAGTTCGTGATGTAAAATAGAAAATTCAACAATCTTCGCAATTCCGTATCTTTTACCTAAGTATATCTATGAACCATAGGGTGAATAAACTCAGTAATAGAATGTCAGTGATAACGAAATGAACAACTGCAAGGTGCATACAAACTGATCGAACATTTTACTGATTAAAATGAATAGAAGTTATTCAGTCTTCATGAATGTTTCCTTGCATCAAATCTTTGATGTAATGTTGCCCACTGCATAATCACAGTTATTTACTGTAAACACACTTATGGTATTCAATAGAAGGATAAAACCTTATAATAAATGATAATAGGACATCATATAAAGACTTTGTTATTAGTTCTAATGATCGAGTATACGTGTATTCATAGAAGATGTTGTTTGTGTCTAGAAGTCGAATACAAATTGGAGATTTCATTTTATTTGGGACTTGTCTAAATTCCAGTGTTGATTATTACCCTACGACTTAAACCCAGTAACTTTCACTTCGAATATCGAACCTTAGTACTTTCAACTGATGATTCCCAAATAAAATGGAATATTTGGTATAGATTCCATTGCTAGCTACGGTCAATCTTTACCATAAAGGCAATTCACACACGATGTACATATGCTCAATCAAGACTGACTATTACTCACTCAAGAATATCAACAACGGGATAAACCAAACCCGTTTTATTGATAATTGAAACACATTGTGTCCAATTAAAAACTTTTTAATAATATAAATAATTATTGTCAGTTCTACCTGGGGCCCCTCTGGGGCTACTGCCGATGTCGAGCCCGAATAAAGGAGGAGGGTCGGGTATAGTGTTAGAGACCCCATCACGTATTAAACTAACTCGCTAAAAAACTCTAACTAGAACTAGTGAATAATAATTGTCATTGTATATATGATATCCATTACAGTTGGTCAGTAACAGTCACTGTGATATGAGTAGATGTTGACTTCTATGGTACATTACCTCTGTTATGAACTTCAAACCTGATGCAAATATCTATGTTGATGAAAATGGATGTACTTATAGGTTACCTTTAAGTAGACAAAATCCGTGGAAAAAGTTAGGAATATATTATTTTTCGAAAATTCTTGATGATCCCCAAACGGATTCGACCTCGTATCACCCAGCTTCACGGTCAGAGACGTTACCACTAAGCTACCCGGGGCGTGATTGACTTCCTTTAAGATTAAAATGTATTTACAATTGATTGATCACTGGGTGCTGATCAATGTCTTTCGATCTACACTAAGAAGAACCTGACATGACAGTGATCGCCACACAGTGATCAATCAATTGTAAATACCAAAATCATTGAAAGATAATGATCAGTGAGAAATCATTTCCCTTTTGAAGATTCATAGAAGTTATTCACCATTTTCTCCAAAATGATTGGTTAGTAGAAAAAAATAAAGAATTATTCAGTAACATTTGTCAATTCAATTTATAAAAAGTGATTTGAGTAGTATTATGGTATGTACTACTGATGTCGACAGATATAAGTAGTACGTATCATCAATAGAAAGTAAAATACCTGAGGGTAAAATATTAAGAAGATCAAAGAAAAGAGAACGAGTAGAAAATGAACATTAACTCCGAGATGTGACGTTTAAATCCGGTTGACGAGTCTCAAATAGGATGATATGTGCGTCCTGGATTCCATTACTAACCACCAACTATCCATACTTAGAATGCTTGTGAATTAAGACTATATTGAGGAACTTCACACAGGATGTACTAATGATTGCTGTGAAAATGAAGGAACAACGTAGTCTGAGACAAAACGAAGTATTTGTTGTATGATTCTCAGATTTACGTTCTCCTCACATGATGTTCTTATTCACCATAGTGCCCCCAAATGCCCTGGTACGGCTGAGAGTGGGGAGATTCCGCTCTCCCTCTCGGTAGGTGGACATGGAGAGTCCACCTAGGGGAGTTGGAAAACCCTGATTCCAAACCAATGGTGCACATGGGGAACAAATGGCGTATGAACCAATCGTTGGTCACCAATGGGACTGCATCTCCTCACAATGTTCCATTGCCTTGTGGATCAGACCTTCAGGTCGAAGGCTCCGAACGTGGCCCCCTAAGAAAACCACCTGCTTCGGTTTGGGCACCCGAGCAGTATCATAGCCCTCACACATATCAAATGAGATTTGTGTGGCGCATATGTATATGGTGCCTCCTTTTACCAATATCTATGTGTTAAAATAAATAATAAATCACCATAGTATATTTACGACAAAGCTATGTAGTCAGTTTATAGATCAAGCAAACAATGAAGTACAAAGTTGAGAAAGAAACGTCTATCTATTTGATTGGCTCATTGTAATCTGTTTTATGGTAAACCTGGAAATGTAATTATATTAGTTGGGATAATGTATTAGGGTGTATCAATCTCAGTCAACTAATTGAGATATTTCACTTGACCTTAAAAAGTGATATGGGAAATTAAATTATTTTCCTTGATTAAGTTAAATGCATCTTTGATGTTATACAATTGAAGAGTGTTAACCTTCATAAATAAGATTGTTTTTATAACGAAGAATCATGACAATTAGAGTTATCTGTGACATAGACTAACTAGTAACTTCAATCGTTGAGATCATGAATCAATTAAAGTTAGACCATTATGGAAAATCTTGAAGCAGTGGACAGCGATTTCGTCCTCAGTAGCTAAGTGGATAACGCGATAGAGTTTGAGGCGAACAGTACGAAGTTCGATCCCCAAAGAGTACATTAACTCGGAGATGCAGTTACGTCGAACTGATGACGAAACGCGTATGCTAGATTCTCTGCTAGCCACTATACATTCTTGCTCATAAGATCGTAATCCTTACTTACTTGCATACTTACACTTGTTAGTCCTCGTGGAGGAGCATAAGCCACCCATTAGCACTCTCCATCCAACCCTGTAATCAACAATCCTTTCCAGATCCTTCCAGTTGTTATTCATCCTTTTCATACCTGCTTCTATTTCCAGGCGTAATGTGTTATTTGGCCTTCCACTTTTCCACTTCCCTTCAGGATTCCAAGTTAGGTGCTTGCCTCGTGATGCAGTTTGGTGATTTCCGTAATGTATATCCTGTCCATTCCCATCATCTTTACCTAATTTCCTTTTGAGCTGTAAGTTAATTATTTCTCTCCCACAATAGAAAAATTGCTGATGTTATCCTATCAATGGATGTTGAGTATCTTATGTAGACAACTATTTGTAAGTACTTGCACCTTCTTGATGATGGTTGTAGTAGTTCTCGAAGTTTCAGCTCCATACAGTGGAACTGTCTTGTCGTTCGTATTGAAGACTGTGACTTTGATATTGGTAGATAGTTGTTTTGAGTTCCATATGTTCTTCTGTTGTACCAATGCGGCCCTTTCCTTTACGTCTGCATTGGATCCTCCTTGTTCATCGATGATGCTTCCCAGATACATGAAGGATTCCATATATTCCAGAGTTTCGCCGTCGTATGTGATTGAATCGATATGACTGGATTACAATGCTAGCTACTATCCATCTTTACTTATAAGTTTGTAAAACTAGAAGGTCCCATACCAAGATTAACCAGCTATTCAAGGATCTAATGAAATCAATCCATGATATAAATGAAATAGATTTTATATATCGGATTTATGATTAAAAAAACAACTTACAATTTGATAGTTTGTACAAATTTTCTCATCTGAATCATAATTCACTATACAAGTAGGTATTAACATGGAATTGGTTTGATTCCTATAAGTTAACTTGTCATCATCATCATCAGCAGCAGGAGCAGCAGCAGCATCGGCATCATCATCATCATCATTATCATCCTTATTATTCATTGGTTGATTGATCTTTTGAAGACTAGATGTTTGATGAATTGTCGGATACCCCGTAGTACAATTATAATCTTCTTGATTATCATTTTTTAATTCATTAAATTGAATATTTTCATCAAAACATGATTTTCTTTTTAAATGACGAAAATTTAATGGAAAACATGTTGATGATATAGAGCTTAAAGTTGAACGTCTACTATCTATTCTTGATTTATGAGTAGAATCATTGTCTGGAACTATAAGAACAAAAACAAGAAAAGAAAAGAAAGAGGATGTGTGAATGAGAGTGAAAGATGTAAATCCAAATTAAATATTAACTTAAACCACGATCCCGTCATGCAAGATTCGAACTGAGGATCAATAAGTCTTGCGGCTGAAGAGACTCACCATAGGACGAAACGGTCATCCAGTGCTTCTAAGTTTTTTAATGGGGATCTAGCTTTAATTGACTCATGATCTCAAATATTGAAATGAACTTAATTATCATTTTTAACTAGAAACTGTCTTCTTACAAAACAAGGGACACTGAACACGTATTCTATGTTAGTTTAAGACTGCCAGTTAAGGTTGATTTCTATTTCTATTTATCTTTCTTTTGATGATTGATTGGATTGTGAAAAGACCTCCATATCTGAGAGGATACATGGAATACAGTGAATAGTTGGAAAGCAGTTGGACCTTCTGTACCCATATACATCAACAAATGTAAACGAAGACAACTAGTGTAGCACCATTTTCTATATAAGTGGGTCTCAACATACACAAGGATAAAAACAAGATGTTCAATACGACATGGAGAATACAAACACTTGATGGAGAAACTCTGGAACAAGTGGAAAGTTTTACGTATCTTTGTAGCATCATCGATCAACAAGGAGAATCTGATGTTGACGTAAAGTAAGAATTTGAAAAGTAAGGACCGCATTCATACAATTGAAGTACGTATGCAACTCAAAACAACCATCAACCTATATCAAAGTCACAATCTTCAATACGAACGTCAAGACGGTTCCACTGTACGGAGCTGAAACTTCGAGAACTACTACAACCATCATCAAGAAGGTACAAGTATTCATAAATAGTTGTCTACATATGGTACTCAACATCTATTGGCCGGATACCATCAGAAACAGTCTACTGTGAGAGAGAACAAACTGGCTTCCAGTTGAAGAGGAAATTGGGATAAGGCGTTAGAATTCGATAGGATACACATCTCAGAAATCAACAAACTGCATCACGAGGAAAACACTAACTTGGAATCCTGAAGGGAAGCGAAAAAGAGGAAAACCGAAGACCACACTATGTCTAGAATCGAAAGCAGCTATGAAAGAATGAATAACAGCTGGAAAGAACTGGAAAGGTTTGTCCAGGACAGATTTGGATAGAGAATTCTGGTGAGCGGTCTATGCTTTTCCATGAAAATTAACAGGCGTAAGTAAGTAATAATATATTATGAAGTACTAATATAAATTTGCTTAACCTGATTTATATGGTCTGGATTTACGAAAACATTAATTGTTTCACTAAATATTCTTGTGAGGACGGCCAACGAGTGAACTCAAGGAAGCTTTAAGATTCTGAGAAAGATCCGAAGACATTTCATTCAATCATCTTTTAGAAGAATATTCTAGAATCTCGACATGTTACTTCCTTATTGGACAAATGCTAAAACATCACTATATGCGGATTGGATGACTATAATGATGATTTGGCTCTTACTAAAAACTACAAATACCTTAGAGTTTTGTACCATATTTGACACTGTCTGAAATAGCATTCTTTATCAATCGTCTTTTTTCTCCTCATTTTAGGATTTGGAGGGTTCTAGCGTTCAGATGCTCAAGTAGTACTAGTTATATCATGAATCTTAACTGTACATATAACAAGTCTTATGTATGATTTTGAAATCTTAGCTCTACAAATTACTTGGTGTCTAGTCCTATGTCGAGTTCACATAACTTATTCTAGCTTTTGGACAAACTATCTTATCCATTCTGTTCATGCAACATTTCGACATTGTTAATTATTCGTTTGTCAACCTTGATTGGCTTTCACATAAGTGAATATGTGTGCATTTCCTATCTTACTTGTCACATGACTGTAACTTATTTTTTATCTGACTATAAATATCATTTCATGCTTGATTAAATTGAGTTGGCTGACATGTCATCTCCACTACATATCATTTCACTTCGTTCTCTTCTCGTTTCACTTCATTTCTCCGCTTGTTTATTCGGATCGCTGATACGTATTTGAAATTCATTCTTTTATTAGGCTCACTTAATTCTGTTATATTCACTAAGACGATGATTCTATACAAGAATAATCGACATTTATACAATCCAAATTGAAGTTAAATATCAAGCCGCTGAACTCGTCGATAACATCAACCAATCTAATTGATGCCAAAAAGGAAAGACTCCATCTATAATTATATATATATATATATATATATATATATATATATATATATATATATATATAGAGAGAGAGAGAGAGAGAGAGAGAGAGAGATCAGTTTGTTTTATGATCTAGATTTGTTTTCTTAATCATTTAGATCATTTTACAATGGTAACAAATTGAATCTACCATTTTCTTTACAAAACAATGATTCTATTCATATGAACAAGAGATTAGCTTATACTTATATGAGAACATCTATTTCATAAACTTCGATTATTTATGTATATGTGCGTGTGTGTGTTTTGTGTGTGTGCGTTTATACACGATGTATTTACTTATATTGTTTATACAAATTAGTAGCCATGGTTAGTATCTGGGTTAGATTAATATCAATTTAACCAATTGGTTACTTGTTTCTATTAATAAATTTAATAGTTAAATATTCACAGTTCATTTGCTTTGTTTGTTTGTTTATTTCTCAATGAATTTAATCGTTAATATACAATTATTGTTTTAGAGTATTCACTCTTGAATTAGTTCATATTCCTAATTACTTACTTCAATATTCGCATTGTTGTTTCGGAATGTAATCGATCAGTCATTGATTGGCATATATGAATCTTGTAAGGATTGACTTGATACTACCTTCAACAATAAGCAAAGATGGGTGGGGGCTGATAGTGGAATCTAGGATGTGGGTTTCGTCCTATGTTGGACTCGTCAGATGAATGTACCTGCATCTCAGACTTGTTAATATTCACTCTAAAACTTAAACTCAGTACCGTTCACTTCAGATGTCATCGATTTATCCACGTACTGAGTTTGAATCCCGGAGTAAACATCAACTATGGGAAGCAAGTACATCTAACTGACGACTCCCAACTACGATCCCACTGTTAGCCACTATTCATCTATGCTTACAATGCTTGTGACTCAGTTCAATATCGAGACAATCCATACAAGATACGCATATACCAATAATAAACTGTTCAAATACAGTCCTAAGCATTAAAGAGAAGATTCAAGCAAACAATACATAATAAGAAGTAATTCCTGGAGTTTAAGTGATTAACAGTGGAGTTCAACCGGGTCTGTTGTGAGATAAGAAACTCATTGAAAACAATGATGGATATGTCGCACAATTTCGTGGATTAGTTAAAGTTAGACATTTACACCGATGGATACCGGCCGGCTCAGTGGTCTAAGGGTTAAGCGTTTGCGCGCGAGACCGATAAGTTCTGGTCTCATTTCTTGCGAAGCAAGATCGTGGATACTCACTCCTGAGGAACCTCACAATAGAACGAAACGGCCATCCACTACTTCCAGGTTTTCCATAGTGATCTAGCTTCAATTGATTCATGATTTCAACTATTGAAATCGCCTAATGAATTATCAGAAATCTTAATATAAACAATAGAAATGCAATAAATTAATTTATCATGTCAATATCTCTATTGAAATTTGATTTTTTTTTTTAAATTTTTGTATTACATTTCATATGATAATGTTACATAATTGATTACAAGATGTCGTGTTTATATCAATGACAATTTTTCGAGAAAATTGTTCCTCTTAGCAACAACAACAACAACAACAACATAGATACAAACAAACAAACAAACAAAATAAATGCCGACAATTCTTTACTCGGTCACTTGTCAACAACAACAAAAAATGTTTTTTGTATTTTTATGTGTTCTTGAGAAAAAGTAGAAAAAGAATATCATCAATAGTCTAAGTAAAATTTGAAAAGAAAACTAGTTTCTATGTAGAAAATTTGTGAAGAGTAGATAGTTTGAATTTGGAATAACCAGAAGTGTATATATAGTTAAAGTATGTCAGAAATGAGCTTGTTAGCTTTGATAATATGTATGGATAAACTATATTATGAATTGATTAAACGTTATTCATAGATTATAGTCTCATTTATTTCGCATATCAGATATAATTTCACATCAGCAACATATCCAGACCCTTTAAATTACCATTCAGTAGCTGAGTGAATAATGAGACAGCGTTTGAGCGAATGGTATTGGGTTCGAGTCCCAGAGTGAATATTAACAAGTTTCGGATGCAGGTATTTCCAGCTGATAAGTCCCAAATAGGAAGAAATACGCGTCAAACTGGATTCCACTGCTAGTCATTATCCATCTTTGCTTATAAAGCTTGTGAATTAAGGCAATATCGAAGCAATATGCATAGTATGTACATATACTGATAAAAGACTGATTAATTGCAGTCCTGAACCTCAATGGAAAGATTCAAGCAAAACAATACCAAGTGAATCTAGACTATATAAAGTTTACAAAATGCATGTTTTGTGGTAATTTAAGGGTTCTGGATATGTTGCTGAAGTGAACTTATGTCTGAAATGAGAAATTAATGAAACTATAATTTATAACTGACGTTTGAGTGACGCTATGGTGACCATGAGAATGTTTACCAACTAACTAGGACTAGATCAGGGTTATAAACCAGTGTGAAGAATAAAGATTACGAATTACCATTAATATTTAGGGTTGGGGATTTATTCTAGGATTTTCATTACGAACTAATATCAACTAAAATGCTAAAACTCTATTTAACCAAATGGATGTATGAATTTCGCTCCAAAATCCAAGACCCATTATCTTAAACCTGATGGGTTTGTTCATAAACTATTACCAAGTTGAAGTGAAATCAACTCGAACAATTCATCTAAAGAGTCATATTTAACTTGTATAAATATCACATTACAAAAATATTACAGTTCTTCAGAATTATACACATTGAATCTGATAAGTCTTGCAGATTGAATGCTATATTCGTCTCCTAAGCTATTCTGTAACCCCCA